CAGGGCTTTTAGGCAGTAAAAGAAATGGAAGTCATCTGGATTGGAAAGGAAGAAGCAAAACTTTCTTCTTTGGGGATGACATGATCACATACATAGAAAATCATAAGGAGTCCACAAAAAAACTGAAATAAGCAAGTTTAGCAAAGTTATAGAATATACAAGATCAATGTACAAAAATTAATTGTATTTCTCTACATTGGCAATGAACAATCTGAAAAGTACAATTAAGAAAATTTTTTTCACCTATTGAAAGACATGCAACTTACCTCAAGGTTTTGGAAATTATGAATAAAATTGCTATAAAACCAAAAAAAAAGAAAAAAATTTTTTACAAGTCACGTAAAAAATAGGAATAAATTTAACCAAAGATGTATGAAACTTGTACCCAGAAATCTACAAACTAATGTGCAAAGAAATGAAAGAATACGTACATCAATGAAAAGGCATCTCAAGTTCTTGGCTTGGAAGACAATACTGTTAAGATGGCAGTAGTTCCTTAGCTGATCTGCAGACTTATTGCAATCCCAATCAAAATCCTAGCTGGCATTTTTGCAGAGAATGACAAGTTATAGGTGGAAGCAGCAAGTTTTGTTGGATATAATGACCCCTTGAAGAAGGGCATCAAACCACTGGCTGTCTCTAAACAGAAAAGAAATTCAATATGATTTTTCCCTATTCTTTTCCAATCTTTAGTCCCTCTGAAAAACCATTATTTACTGTTACAAAGATGCTTCACAATCATTATTCTTCCTTGGAAAAGGTGACTGAACAGGGGTTCTCAGAGTTTTTTAAAATTGAAGTACTATCTGTAGTAGTCTGTCTGTATTTGGGCAGATCTTTGTGTAATGTCTATTTTAGAAGTTATAAGTTATTTAGAACTCGAATTCCCAAGATTCAAAACATAGAAATTCAGAAGAACAAGCAAAATCACCTAAAATTTCTAATTCCGTGTGGCTTTTATCTGAAGAGGACTTTGATAATGTAATAACAATTTTTGCCTTTATATTTCATACCCTACTCTCTGTGAGATTTGTAACTTACTTGGATTTTGTAGCTGTAGGCCACAAGGTGGTGACACCAAATAATACAGAAATACCAAATGCCCAAGTGGATGCTTCTATTCCAGAATATAGTATATTCTGTTTTGATATGCTGGTCTCTCTCTCTCTTTTTTTTTTCAGTGACTGTATGTGGTTTCTATTTGTGTTAAGAAAAATTGGTTTAGGGGCGCCTGGGTGGCTCAGTGGGTTAAAGCCTCTGCTTTTGGCTCAGGTCATGATCCCAGGGTCCTGGGATCGCGCCCCGCATCGGGCTCTCTGCTCAGCGGGGAACCTGCTTCCTCCTCTCTCTCTGCCTGCTTCTCTGCCTACTTGTGATCTCTGTCTGTCAAATAAATAAATAAAATCTTTAAAAAAAAAAAAAGAAAAATTGGTTTAACACTTCTGCTCAACAAAATTTAGTTCAAAATTTGTCATTTGACCAACATATCAGTTAAATAGAAAGAATTACAGAGATTATGGATCCTGCCTTGCCTCAGGCTTTCAGGTATCATAATACTAGAATAATAGACATTATCAGTTATATTTTGAGGGCACTGATTAAAAAAATAAATAGAAAAAAAATCCTAAGCCCCTACTTGTAAAGTTGTGATAAACTTCATTCACTTAAGCTTTGGAGATTCTTCTTTTATTAGTTTTCATTGGTTTCATTTCATTTCATTGATACATAAAAAAATCATATCTCATACCTTACAGGAAATTAACTGTATCATATAATATAAATCACATAAATATAAATATGTATATAAATATATATATAAATTAAAACATAAAACTTAAAAATGTTTAGATTGAATTTTTTGACCTGGGGTTAGGCAGATAGTTTATCAGTTCAACACCGCATATATGAAACAAATTCATGACGTGGACTTTATGGGGAAAAAATTCTTTTGCTTGTTGAAGATCTGTAAAAGAATGAGAAGACAAGTTACAGGGTGATAGAAAATATTTGAAAATTGTTTATCTTCCAAAAGGCTTATGTCCAGAATATATAAAGAACTTTTAAAATGTGAGAGTAAAATCTATAAATAATTCCTTATATTTGTAGCCATTTGATTTTCGACAAGGGTGACAGGACAGTCCATTGAGGTGGGAAGGGATAGTCTTTTCAACAGATGGTGCTGGAACAAGTGGATATCCAACATTCAAGAAAAATGACAGTGAACCCCTACCTCACACCATTTATTATTATTATTATTTTTTATTATTATTATTATTATTTCCATTTTATTTATTTATTTGACAGGGAGACACACAGCGAGAGAGGGAACACAAGCAGGGTAAGTAGGAGAGGGAGAAGCAGGCTACCTGCAGAGCAAGGAACCCGATGTGGGCTTCAGTCCCGGAATCCTGGTATCATGACCTGACCCGAAGGCAGACATGTAATGACTGAGCCACCCAGGCGCCCCTGCCTCACACCATTTATAACAATTAATTCAAAATGGATCAGAGACCTAAATGTCAGAGATAAGAATAAAAAACTCTTGGAACAAAACATAGGCATAAATCTTTGTGTCCCTGCATTTGGCAATGAGTTCTTAGATCTGAGAACAAAAGCAAAAGCAACTAAAGAATCAATAGATACAGTAGACTCTATGAAAATTAAAAACTTTCATGCTTCAAAGCAGATCATGAAGAAAGTGAGAAGATAACACATGGAATGGGAGAAAAATATTTGTAAATCATATATTTGACAAGGAACTTGTATCCAGAGAATATGATTAACGCTTATGATTGAACAATGAAAAGACAATCTGATTTTTATATGGGCAAATGTTTTGGATTGACATTTCTCCAAGGAAGATCTACAGATTACCAAAATGCACATGAGAAAGATGCTTAACATCCTTAGTAGCTAAGGAAGTGCAAATCAAAACTGCAGTGAGATGCCACTTCATATCTACTAGGATGGCTAAAATAAAAGAGATAATAGCAAGTACTGTTGAAGATGTGGAGAAGCTGGAGACCTCATACATTGGTGCAGCGACAGATTGGCAGTTCCTCACAATGTTAAATATAGACCTAACAATTCCATTCTTAGGTATACACACCCAAGAAAACCGAAAACACATGTCTCCATAAAAAACCTGTGCACATTATGACACATTAGTCATAATAGCCTAAAAGTGGAAACAACTTGTTCATCAACTGATAAATGGATAAATAAAATGTGGTATATCCATGCAATGAAATGCTATTTGGTTATAAAAAAAGGTTGAACTGATATATGGCACAATACGGATGAACCCTGAAAAGATACTAAATTAAAGAAGCAGTCACAAAAGGCCACATTGTATGATTCCATTTCTGAAGTATCCAGAATAGGCAAATCCATAGCAACAGAAAGGAGATTATGGTTGTCAAAGGCTGAGGGGTGGACCAAAGGAGGAGGAATTGCTAATGGATATGGGCTTTCCTTTTGGGTGATAAAAATGTCCTGAAATTTGAGAGTGGTCATGGTTGTGCTACTCTATATACTAAACACAGAATTATATACTTTAGAAGAGTGACTTTCACAATATATGAATTATAGCTCAACAAAAAATATTAACACAGTTCTTAAAATGGGCAAAAGATTGGAGCACTTTATCAAAAAAGAAATATGGATGACAAATAAATGCATGATCAAAAAAAGTGCTAAACATTATTGTGCGTTAGAGAAATCCAAGTAAAAGCCAGAATAGCTCAAATAAAAAGAGTAACAATACCAAATGTTGGTGAGGATATGGAAGATCTGGAATTACCATACTTCACTGGTAAGAATGCGGTCTCAATTATTATACCTATGCAAACATTCATTTACTATATGACCAGCAATTCCATTTCCAGATGATTTATCCAAAAAGGAAATTTGTATTCATCCAAAACCTGTGCATAAATGTTTACAGTACTTTTATTTGTAATAGCCAAAAGCTGGAAACAGATGTACTTTTACCAGTGACAAGATAAACAAATGAACTAGTTCCATATAATAGGATCATATGTAAGAATAAAAGAATAAAATCATATGTAAGAATCATATGTAAGAATAAAAAAAAGAATAAAAAGATCTCTTGATACTTTCAGGAAAATATAAAGTAGATGAATCTCAGATGCTTATTGGCAAGTGAAAGAAACTGGACCCAATAAACTCCATACTCTGTGATTTCATTTATAGGACAGTCTGGAAAATACAAAACCATGGAGAAGGAGAAAAGATAAGTACATAGGAGAAGTTTAGCTTCCTGATGAGCTGAGAGCAATTATTCACTTTGTGGATCAGATTTTATTTCACAGATGAGTTTGTTTTTCCTGGTTATTAGTGAGCCATAATGACTCTTTTTATTTTTTATATTAATGCCCAGCATAAAAAAAAGGGAGGTTTTGATTTGATGTTTTTAAATTTTATGGTATGGTGTGGTATATATTGAGAAGAAGGTGATGTTTTTGCCTATGACTTTTGTTAGTCTCATCCGTACTGTCTTTGGATACTCATCTATGACTCACGTTTCTTTCACCAGGCTTCACAGGCTGCTGTGGCTGGAGTATTATACCCATTTACTCTCAAACCTGTTCAGAGAAATGCTCCATGCCTTCTTTAGATTACTTTTACATCTTCCTGTTGTGTTTTCTTTTGTGATCCTATATTTCTTCATAACCCCAAAAAATTATAATTAAATTTTATACTGATTATTTGTATAACCATTTAACATCTATCCAATTCTGTATCTTCCTTTCCTCTCCCCACAAAGACTAAAGTCTCTGTTTATAATAAGCCACACTTGGTGTTACCAGTATCCTTTATTTATTTATTTATTTATTTTTTCCTATCCATAATAACCATGATTCTTTTGGAATCAGTTCTGCCTTTGATAACTTTCTTAAATGATTAGTGGGGTGAGTGCAAACCCATCAGAGAAGGAGATGTCCCTTGGTGATGCTTTTCTTTTTTTCTTTTTATAGGGAAACTAAACAGCCAAGACTCCTACAATAATTTTGCCAACAACAATCCTGGCAACCCCCGGCTCTCTCCTCTCCCCAGCTTGATGGTACTGATGCCTCTTGCACAAATCAAGCAACCAATGACATTGGGGACCATCACCAAACGAACAGGGTAAGACCTTAGGCTTGATACTTTTTAAAATAGCTGTTTCAGAGGATTGGATACATAAAAATAAAATGTACATTTCCTGTGGGTGGTTTAATTACGCTCTTTATTTCCAGCCCACATGAAACTAATGGCAGCAGATTAAGTACAGAGCATGCACAAACATACCTGAATACAACCATGTACATATACATCTGTAGCAAAAACAAAGCAGTGACAAAGTGTGAAAACTAGTATTGGCTAATAAAAACCAGACCCATCTCCTCAGGCTTACACTTACTTCCTGCCTCTTGGTTTTGTCTGGAAGTAGTGTCAGTTTCTTGCTTTTGTGGACAAAATCCATTATGATCTGGATTTATAAAGACTCCCAAATTTTAACTGGTCCAAACACTGAGGAAAGAACCTCAGATGACAACTGTGTTTCTAATACGTAAGAAATCACCTGTATTATGGTATAATTTACATATAATAATCTGTCATTAGTGTCAGTTTGATATGATGTTATGGGTAGTTTTCAAAAGCCAGAGTCCTAAGATTTGGGCTTTACTCATGATTGGTCATTAACATCCTCAAAGACATTTAATGACTCGCATGATGTGTCTGTGCTTATTTTAGGTGTTTAAAAATTTTAATTACTATTGGCTATGAATATAAAATTATCACTTCTTTGGGTTCCTGAAAGTAAAGTGTGATATCTAAAATATCATTAGATGATCAATTGTGTGATGACTCTGAAATTCCATTTTGTACAAAAAAATATATATGTCTATAGGCAAATTACCTATATCATCAATAAGCAATCCTGAGGTTTAACCTAATTTGAAATGAAACAACTGTTTTATATTTTGTATTCATGTAGTCCAGAGAAAACCCAGTCCTGGCTTCAAACAGTCTTCAGGGTCTTTCCAACAGAAGGAATAGAGTAAATTACTTGGCTGTTATATGAAAAGGTCTTAATATTTTTGTGCTGGGTGGTAAAGTGTTTGTAGAAGTCACTTTTGTGAGGAGAAATACTCTTTCTCAGGGATAAGGCTTTGGAGCTCCAGATTTCACCATGGCACAGAAATGGACCCTTTATGTAGTGGAGTGGTATTTGTATACAAATATGATCTTATTGCTGAATGCAGAAATAAAATTGAGTTTGTTGCATGTTAAGGGTTGGGTGGAGGGAAAAATAGAGCAAACCTAAGGCCCCAAATCGGACATGTTATGATATAGATCATTTGGCCTATATTCCTTTCTTTTTAAATTGGTTTCAGCTTTTTAACTCTTTGTGTTAAGTAATTTAAGTGGAATTTTGACTTCCCTTTCCTCTTAGTTTCTTTATTTTAAAATAAGTGTAGCCATGAGTAAGAAAGACCTTATGAACTTATATTTACAATTAGCTCATTTTTTTCTTGTATGATGTTACTCTTTGGGATGCAGAATCAAGTAAAAATTGGATAGATCTTGAATCATAATATTTTTTTTACTCATAGAAATCAGTATGTAATTGTACCTTCTTGATTCAACTGAGCATTGTACAATTTCTGCAAAGTACTTATGAGATTTTATGTGTGTTTCCTGAATCTAAGTCAAAGAATACTCAAAATTGTTCTTGAATTTAATTCTAGCTTTGTTTCTGGTGTTTGTTGTTTTTAAAACGTAAGAGCTATGCTGTTTTTATAATGCAAAGAATTAGCTTTCTTTTTCAAATTAACTTTTCCATATATATGATTATTCAAATAAGCTTATTCAGATAAGCTTTTCCATATATATGTAGATATCTGTCTATCTAAGATAGTGATTGAAGTTCTATATATGAAATTCTATGATGTTAGAATTTAAGTCAGTATATTTGTGGGGAGGAGTGGAAACTAAGTCTACTTTTGTATATATTTGAAATTTTCTACTATGAAAACATAGTCTCTCATTTAGTCTTTCACACTGTCTCTTGTTGCTCTCTCTGGCCTTAGATGGGCAGAAACTAGTAATCATCTGGTGTCTCCTTCTGCTGCATACTTTATGAACTTAGATAAATTCTGTGTTTCCTTGTCTTTTTAAAAAGTCACAATTCCTTGATTTCTAGAGTATGTATATTATGCCCCCTTATAGACAATTTAGTAGTTTCTTATTAATGAAATCAATTATATGAATTTGAGTTACATACTTTGAAATTAATATTAGTTCAAAATACCGCATTGTTCTCTTGGCCATTTATCTCAATTTTCAGATCTTTCTGTTTTTGCTGAGTTTTTAAATTCTTTTTAGCATGTCCTATGCTGAAGTGTTTAAAGAGAATAATATTTGTCCCATAATGAATACTTGGTTTGTAATTTTTAAAATTTTCACATAGATTGAGGTTTACAGAAAAAGTTACAAGACAAGTAAAAGGAATTCCTGTATACTCAGATTTCCCAAATGTTAACACTCTCTTCTTTTTGCCTTATCATTCACATTTGTTCATTCTGCCCACTTGTGTACAGACACACAACCCCCCCATATTATTCTTAAATTGTTTCAAAGTAATTTGTAGACTTAGTAACCCTTATTCCTACAAATTTCAGTATATAAATTCTAAAGACAAGGATATCCTCTTCTAAAACCATAGTATAGGTATCAAAAGAAGAGATTTTAAAACTTACTGTTAGGTTTTTTAATTGTAGTTGTTGTCTTTAATGAGTTCTCTATTCGTGCCAGAGCCTTTAGTGCACCACAAATTACCCCACCTACTCTTTTACCCGCTTCGCCTATAATTCTTTTTTCCCCATTCCTCCCTATTCTTCCTATTCTATTCTATTCTATTCTCTCGCTTCCTATTAACACAGATCATAGTGACCTATAAATACTTTGATAATAATATTTGTAACTTATAGTTGGCTATTGTTAGATTATAAGACTTCATACCTGTCAGCCACTTTCTGAAGGGTTCATTGATTGTATCCAGAAATTGCTATACGGGACTTTCCTTGTAATTCTTTTACTCTAAGTCACCCCAACGTTTGGTTATGGAATTTTGAGAATACACTTTGTGATTTTATTATCTTAAATTGGATCATTTTCATGGAAATACATGTATTTTGCCTTACAAAAAGTAATATTTGTTTATGAGAATATAATATATTCCCTTAATTTTTGTTTTTGATATATGCTGAGATTTGAACCAAATCCCACACATTTCATGTCATTAGATTTCATCTCATTAGATTTTAAAGGCTATATTTATTTCATTTTTATTAAAATTTTTTTACTCTGACCAATTCTCAATCTGCAGTCAGATAATTTGCATTATTTCCATTAAATTTCATTGTATTTACTGATAATTTTGATTGCCATATTAAGGTCGCTAGACTGATGAGCGAATAGGCTTTTCATATTCCAGGTCTCTTTTCATTCTGGAAATTCCAGTTTAACTCCAACTTTGCTTCTATGCCATGCCTTTCCTAGCATTTAAAAAAAAAAATTAACAAGGAGTATTTTACATGGATTATGTAGAAATACAACACAGAGCTGACTCATTTATAGACGTGTAAACTCTGTGACTACTTCCAACATACCTGATAATGTATCTAATAAAATTATATACCTACCTTGGTTAGATCAGCATTTATTTATTCCATGTCCTAGATATTTGGCATAAAGGCAAAATAAGCATAAGAAGTTGTATTTCTAGCACAGAGATTTCTAAGGATTGCCTAGGATCCTATATCTAAATATTCAAATTGAGATGGAAGCCTCAGTTCAAACCTTGAGGGGATAAAACGTGTGCTTACCATATTTCACATCTGCCTTCTTATTTTTGGAAATATATATCCCTAGAAGCCTGTGCAGTGTCAGGGACCATCTGTCTTACTCCAAGACATGCACAAGGCCAGTAGACTACAAATGGCAAAAGACAGATGTATTTTCACCTTCATGTTCTGTACCTTGAAGCAACACTTGGAGGAAATAAGGCCTATTTTGGTAACAGCTGTTGCTTAACCTGACTACAGTATACACTGATGAAGCCAAATGAAGTGCTAGAAATCATTTAGTTCAACACTCATTTAAACAGAATCCAGTTTCTTCCAGTCTAAGACTGGAGGATTGGAAAGATCTCCATCATGTTTTTATGATATGTAAATAAGAGTAGGTTTCATCCGGTAAAGTGAAACTGGGTCCTAAGGAATTGCATTATTTTGGAGTGTTAAGTATTTATAGTAGGGATTTATTAAGCAGCATTTGATAGATGTTTGGCTGAGTTAATGAATCAAGTAAGTGATAAAAATTTTTTTGAATGCTTCCTATGTAAAATTTTACTAAGTAGATAATTTTTCATCAGTATGCTTAATTTTATGTACATTAAATCTAAAGTTGTTAATATATATACCTCATTGTTAAGACACAGAGAGCAGTAAATTTTGAAAAGATCAGAGTGATTTCATGGGAATGAAAAATGCAGACCTTAATGAAGTCACTTCCTTGCTCTTCACTGACCATTCTTAGTGAAGTAATGAGATGATGTTTTGTCTTTCATAAGTTTCCTTTTTCTTAAATGGAGCAGCTTCTGTTCCTTTTCCCTCTCCCCATCTTTATACTTTTCCATATATTTGGGAGCAATTTGAAGTGGGTGTTAGGAACCTTGGGCACAACTCTGTAGAAATAAGTTAGGTCATATAGGGGAAGGTTATTAACATAGGAATCTGATGCCCTGACTTCTCTTGGTTCTGGTACCTATTACCAGTGTGTCCTATGTAAGCTTCTTCATGTGAAGAATACAAGTTTATATGTATGGATTATGATCTTTCAGCTATACACTATATAAGTTCCCACCAGGCCTAATTACCTAATTTCTAAGCCTTATTCACTGTCCTTGTCTTTTCTAAAAAGAAAAGAAAGATGAAAAGAAAAAAGGAAAACACTTTTTCCTTGCTATGAGAACTCTTAGGGTTTACTGTCTTTATAGCTTCCTATATTTCATATAGCAGGTTAGCTGTAGTCATCATGTTGTACATCACATTTCTAGTCCTTATTTATCCTATAACTGG